TTTAGTGTTGGCTGTGTATTTTGTGATCCCAAGGAACCTGTTAAAGTTTGCACTCGATTCAGAGCTCGGATTCTCATCTTCAATATTGAGATTCCAGTCACCAAAGGATTCCCTGTAAGTCTCTCTGAAAGTCATTTTCATTTCAAGTTGCTCAGGGTTTTTCTTCTCCATATGGTTTCCCACATGTCTAATGTAAAGAGTCATTTAGTATCCAGATGTTTTTCCCTCCCTCCAAGGGAAACTAATTCTCCTGCAACTTGAAGAGGATGTAAGATGCTGCTGTGGTGACTTGTGCATCTTGCTGACTTCTGATGCCTAGCTAGGCCATTTCTGAGAATGCATTTCAGCGTGGGGTCAGGCTAGGCTGTTCTTTTGAAAGCCCATACCCTGTTAGGAATATAATGATGCACTTATAATGATACCTTGAAAACAACAACAACAAAAAAATGGTTAATACTACAGAATTACATAGACATGACACAAACTAAACACTTAAGAGTGAAAAATGTATTTGGAATTAAATAATACGTGAACTTTTTGTTATATTGGCAGAGATCACAAAGCTTAGGAAATAAAAACAGTTACTAAATGTGAAGTGGGGACTCTTAGGAGAGAAGTTTTAGAAGCATTTGTTTAAAAAAATCAATCTTAAAAGAACTATGTGTTCTTGGGTACTAACACCTCGGGTTTCTGATTATTTTATAAGATTTTATAAAAGAAAACTGTATTTTAGGTACTTTTACACTATCAAACAGTAAGTGAACCTGCTACTATTAGAAGATTGTTGAGTGTCCTGCACAAAAGCACTGGTGAAGTGACAAAGAAAAAACCTAAGTAAGTGTTCTGAATACTTAATGATTATGTAAAAAAAAAAAAATGGGCTGAGTTTAAAGTGTGCTTTATCAAGCAAGTTCTATTATGAAACAGTAATATGTTTATAAGGACATAAAAAAAAAAAATACTTCCATTATTTTAGCTGGTTTCATGTGTAGATTTCAGAGTGCTTTATGAATTAAAAAACTGTCTTCCACTTAATGAGGACTGAGCACCTGAAAAGTAAGATGACTTCTGTAAGATCAGTTGCAGAAGTGAGAGTGAATCCCAAATTACTAGCCCTGTGCTTAAAAGATATATCTATTTTTTACATTATCTCATTTCTTCTTATGAAATGGGCGTAATCATGGAAATGGGTTAATGTGAATTCTGCTACACAGTTGGTCAGAGTCAAACAGAATCATCTCATACAAGTTAACCAATAGGAATGTCCCTCTTGTTATTTGAAACATGTATTTGGATAGAGATGTTATTTGGCAAACAAGTAATTAAAATAATCATTTTCCAGAAATGGCATGACTGAGACTTATTGAAAGGTAATGGGATAGGGTTAGGGTTAGGGAAAGGTGTCTATGGAGTAATGAATTTGCTCCTAAGTTACGGGGACTTGGGTTTGAAACAAGACTGATTTTTGTTAGATGTGAAAGCTGGGTGTTAATGGGATAATTCATTTGTAAACAATTTTCTAGGTATTGTGGTGGATGACCACCTGTGGAAGTTTGTAAAGAAAAGTCAGATGCCTTTAGAAAGCTGTGGTCCAGGCAAATGAGTTTTCAGTCTGGTGCCTTGGGTTATACTTTAAATCAAACTTGATCATCATACTTTGAGCTTTATAAATTTATTTTTTCCAATTACTCACTGTTCTCTTTTTCATTTGTATATGTATACATTTGTAATATTTTTCTGCTTATTTACTTTCAGGTTCCTTTCTAAAGGACAGAATGCTTTAATAGAACTAGAAACTCAAAGGCCAGTTGCTGTAGAGTTGTATAAAGACTTTAAAGAGCTAGGGAGGTTTATGTTACGCTACGGTGGTTCCACTATTGCTGCAGGAGTTATCACAGAGGTATGGTGTTGTTATAGTGGAATTTCTATAATGTAAAGGAATGGTGTTTACTTTCACATAGCGTTTAGTTTTTATGTTTGATTCTATGCCTTTTAGGCTAAAAATGGAATTTATTTTGCTGAAAAAGAGACAATGCTTTAGCAAGCTGCAAGGCAAATGCTAACTTTTGAAAGTTATACATCTTGTCCCCTCTCACCAGTTAAAAATAACTTTGTTTTTAATATTGGTCTTTCTGAAACTTAATTGACTGTATAAATATACTGGAAATAGTTTTTATTTAAAAATAAGAATAATAGATTTTTAAATAAGAAGTACTGGCCATTTTTACTGTGGTGAGTTTGTGTCTCTTGTCTTAGTCTGTTAGCACTGAAGGTAGTTGTATGTTACTATTCTTATCAATGCCTATAGATTTTTTCCAATCAAGTGTAAGTGAAGGCACAGGGTTAAATATAAATGCTTTACTTTCTATTAAGAGCAAAAAAAATACAAATGACCCTTTATCTGACATTTTAAAAGTATTGCTGTGATCTTTGATTTAGAATTTAAGCTCTAATTCTAGACATGAGGGAGAGAAATTAAGAAATATTAACAAAGTTACTGAGAATTAACAAAGGTACTGAGATGTGAAGCTGAGTGGCTTAATGTCAAAACTTGTTATTAGAGCTTGAAAATTTCTGGCTTCTCTCTGGTCTGCCAAAGGCTCTGTGAATTATGATGCTTTAATGCTATTGGTTGTAAATGGGATCCAGATTTAGGGCTTTGATCTTTCTGCTTAAATGTAACTTGAAGTGAGTGAGGTTGTTTAGACCTATGATGTCCAGTATTTGTAGAATTAGGAACTACTAAACTCTTCGTTCTTTGAATATTACTGTTTTAGTCCTCGTAATCTTTTTCCAGAGAATTTCAGAGCAAAAGGAAAAGGAGTCTTTTTTTTTTTTTTTTTTTTCCCATGGGTAATCACACTGGAAAAAACTGTGATCATTTTACAGTTACTACTTCGTTTTTCACCATTTTTTTCTATTTGATTTTTAGATTAAAGAATGACAGCGGTGCCTGGACTTCCACAATCCAACCAAAATGCAATCAGATATCCAGACTTCTGTTTAAGAATCCAGTTACTTCAGCTGAAGGAACAAGTGCAATTTATTGGGGGGAAGAAGATGGTCACAAAAGTTAGTTTGAATTAGACTTCTGAGGGAACCTTTCATCAGTCTCTCCCACTGCAGAACAGGATGCCAACTGACAAGAAATTGCTGATGTTGCACTCACTGATCAGAAGACTCCAAGTATTGCTCCATGTGGAATTTACCCGTTAAAGAGCCTGATGGAAAAATATTAGAAAGTTGAATTGGGGGGGGAAAAAAGTGATGAATCATCATGAAGCAAACTCCTTCTAGACATAAATTTGTTTACATATTTTCTTTGATCTGCTTTTTTTGCTGCACATTACTTCAGTAAAATAACTTTATTGGTCTAATATATTTTGAGGTGTGAGTTGAACGCATATTCAGGGTAAAACGAACTATTTACTTTGGGTTCAAGAGAATGGCATGTAGTGTTGTACCAGGATTTTTTTTCCTGTCCCTAAATTTATTTAAAAGAAAAAAGAAGTTTCTTTTGCTGTGTTGTAGAAGTTGTGCCAACTCTGGCTAATTTTATTTTTTAAAATGTAAGAATAATAAAATAACTTAGAGCATAATTTTTGACTCTCTGATCTTTATTTTATTTAAACACCTCTAAGTTATAATTTTTTCCTTGCTTTCTGTGATTCATAAGTTTGTCTGAACTTACAAACATAAAATGCAAAACGGACACGTGACTTCTCCATTCTATGAAAATAATTTTCTCTCATATGTTGCTCCTTGGTGCAGTTACTGTGCACATGGACCCAGATGCAGTGTTTTTCTGAACAAAAGCTGGCAGATTAATCTTGGGATGTGTTGATGAAGCCAGATTGTTTTATTTACTAAAGCCTGTAGCTGACCAGTCCAGTTGGTTGATGAACAAATGGCCTATATTGAGCAATGAAGCCATATCAACTTTATTCAATCAAAATTTGTTTGTACCTTGGTTCACAAGAAATTTTAAGGCTTAGCAGTAGTCTAGTGTTCAAAAGCTAGGTGTTTGAAACTAGCTCTTTTCTAGCTTTCTAAATGGAGATTTTGACAGTCTCCTGGTGATAATACAATGCTCTTTAGCACAGATGTAGCAGTTTGATTAAGGGTAGAGTGCAAGGAGATGGCATGCGGTCTCAGAGCCCTTTGGTAGTCTAAGTGTTCTCTCAGAGAAAGATGTATTTTAAACAGTTGTTACTGGGAAGTTGAGTCAAAGCTTAATTATATGTAACAGGTTTGTCTGTAATAAAATATTTCCACTGGAAGATTTAAGAAAGAAAACATGAAAGTAGATGTCTTGCTGCTTGTCTAAAAAAAAGTGGATTTCTGACAACATGTCACAGAGTGCCTGTGCTGGGCAGGATCATGCTTCCCAATGTTTGTGGGTTTTTTTTAAACTGAAGGGCCTCTTGCTCGTATTGCTTGGTTTGAGGATACTGTTAGAAAAAAGATAAGTGTAAAAAACATGGCAGAACCATTGTTATGGAGGTTACAAGGGCAAACATTGATGATGAAACAAATGAGCTGCAGACAAATTAGTCCAAGACTTTTTTCTCTGTGCTTACCGATAGTAAGGAATAGGTCCCTGGTGAGGTTTTTAGGTCTGGAATTATTTTGTGCAGTTGTTGCAAAAAGAATTTCTGCAGACTGAAGCCTGAAAAACTGATAGAGGGAAAATTTTTCTTCAGCAGTTTATTTCCTATAGAGATAAATGAACTCTCCTCGTAGATATTAGCTGATCCAGCGTCCCTGCTTTAATTCCTGCAGCAAGGGGAAAGTAAGTCACAGAAATGGTCATTTTTCCACCTTTTCTTCTTTGTTCCTGCTGCTGTTGCAGTAATTCCCTCTGACTTGCAAGTGAGCGATGCAGGGAAGGCAGAGAGAGGGGGGAGGAGTTCAGACTTGCTGTGCAAATACGCACTGAACTATGAATCTAAACTGGCACCTCTTAGGAAAAAAATCACTGATGAAGCAAGCTGCTAACAATGGCTCACTCAGAGGATCTCTTAGTGCTGAAAAACTTTATAGCTGGCAAATTTGTTCCTTGTTCCTCCTACATAGATTCCTATAACCCATCCACAGGAGATGTCTATTGCAGGGTGCCAGACAGTGGCATAGAAGAGGTGAGTACTATCCAAGTGCACAAAGAGATGAAAATGTGAAATGCATGTTGTGAGTGGGAGAGGTTGGAAGGCAAGAGATCAGAAAAATGATAGACTTTTAAGACTTAAATGAGTAAGGTCTTGATTGTGTTGTAGCATTGTGTAATATATTGCTGCTGCAGCAAATAGTTATTATTTATTTTTACATTTTGCAATTAGAAACTTAAAGACTGAGTTATAAACTAGTGTAAATCAAACAAGATTCAGTTCCTTCAGTAGAGCTGTTTCAGCTCACACAGGGGTGTCTTGTATGTAAATTAACAGTAACGCTCAGGCTGGCACTAAGTGTAAACACTGGAAGAGAGAGAAAAGGGTTATTGACCTCTTATAGAATAAACTCAGTGGCACTGTGTAGAGGTAAATGTGTTCTGCCACTTTGTCTTGATCATTTACAGTTGTCATTTAAAAGGATTGGGCATTCTGGCCCTTTCCTTGCGATATGGTAAAAAGATTCAGTCCCTCTGGTTGTGATATTAGCAGCTGGATATGAAATAAAGGTGGTGAGGAGGCTGCACTGAGTATACATTTCCTCATGAAGCAGTCTGTCTTCTGCATCAATGTAATGTTTCCTAGTCCTGTGCTCTCTGGTGGGATGAATGTTCCTTGTATGTCAACGTAACATTCATCAGGTGTGCTGCAGCTTCACTGATGCCACTTTATAAAGGGCCTAGAAGTGCTTAGCATACTGCTTCAGGTTTGGCAGGGAGGAAAGCGACTAGAAAATGTTAGATGATGTAAAAGGCTTGGAAAACATCGACTAGGAGAGTATAGTAACTTTATTATTCCAAATGATTTTTTTTTTTTTTTCTAAATGAAGTGCTATTGCTATGTAGCTATTCATTTGCATTTCAGTCAGTCCTGCAGACATTTCTTTGCTTCTTCCATCAGAAACCTTTGCACTGTAATTTCAATTGGGTAAATATTTGCTAGAAGTCGATGACCAAGGGTTAAAGTATAACAAGTTCAGTTTGCTAGAATACATCTGTGTAAGTTTGCTCCAGCCAGCCCTAACTATGCCTGGAAAGACTTCTCTTTGATGTGCAGGTGCAAATCTTCCTGTTCATTCACTTGCAGAATCATAAAATTGAGAAAGACGTGAGAATGCCTGAATAACTTAACAAAATTAGGCTATTGACCATGCTGTAGATATGGGAGAAGAGTTCAGATGTGTGTGAGGAACAATGGTTTCTCTCTTCTCAGCTTTGGGGTCATGCCGTGCATAATGCTTGGGTTGTGTGAAGTTGACAAGTCCTTTGCTCTTGCCTTTGGTCAGCTATATCAAAGACTGGACTTTGCAAAGCTGGCATCCACTGATGACTATTGGAATATGCTGCAGGAGAAAGTGAAGTCAAACTACTTAGAGGTTATTTGGAGATTGTAAAACAAGCATCAAGGTCCAGGTTCAGTGAAGAGCTTGATGCTGTTTTCTAACAAGGCTAAACGTCTTGTTGGTGTTTTTAGTTGGTTTCATTGGAAACTTAAAACAATGGAAACAAAAGGCAAACCTGTTTCTGATATTGGAATTCAACACCAGGCCAACTGCAAGGGCCGTTTCAGCCAGTTTTTATCAAAAAATGCGGTGCAGGCTTGAGCAGGTGCCCTACGTCCCCAAAAGACAAGATGGTGGGAGCTAATAGGACCTGGCAAAAAATTTCTTCTAAAAAAAGGGAATCTCTTTTCAAAGAATCTTGATCTTTTCCATCATCCACTGGGAATGCAGGTGTTGTGTCACAAGGGCTATTTTACGTATTTTGGTATCAATCTTTTATGATAGCTCTGGATTGTGTGTTCTTTCTCTGTGTCATTCTTGTGCAGAAGAGGAAAGCAGAAGGAAGTGTTTCAGACACAAATTCATAGTTGAATTTTTATGCATGTCTTCTTCATGGCTCAACTTGTTTTTGCTAGTTAAACTTGTTCCCTTTTACTACTTCTGTATTAATTCTGTATTAGGGAGACCTCAGAGCAGCCTTTCAGTATCTAAAGGGGGGCTATAAGAAAGGGAACAGACTCTTTAGCAGATACTGTTGTGATAAGTCAAGAAGAAATGGTTTCAAACTAAAAGAAAAGAGATTTAGACTGGGTATAAGGAAAAAGTTTTTTACAAACGTGGTGAGACACTGGCATGGGTTGCCTGGTGAGGTGATGGAAGCCCCATCCCTGGAGACATTCAGGGTGAGGCAGGAGGGGATCTACTTGTCAGTGTTCTTTCCAAGGAAACTGGAGCAGATGGTCATTAAGGGACACTTCCAACTCAAATGATTCTATGATCATCTTGTTTGTTTTCCTCATGCTTTTTTAAACCAGTCCACTGACAATTCATTCCTTCCTTTGCCAATTTTCTGTTTGTCCATGAAGATGCAACCTCTTCTTCCTACTAAACTTGCTGGAGGGTTAAAAGTGCAGATGACTCAAACTTCGTATCAACCCTCTTAGGGCACAGCAGCACCAGGTGGTACAGGCAACAAAAGAAGGGACAGATGAGAAGCAGCACCACAATGGCACCTAATGTCGAGAGGGTGGAAGAACAAGTTACTTAATGTCAGTGGTTTTGTTTCAAAGGGGATGAATCTTTTCAGGGTAGGTGCCCTCCTCACCCAACTCACTCAAGAAGCTGCAGTTCCCCTTTCCCAGACCTGCTTTGGCTTTCCTCCAGCTGCTTGGTTGTTGTACTCCACCAAAAGGCCAGAGTCTAGGTTTGTGGGCTTGGCAGTGATCTGTGTGACTTTGTGAGCTGGTTTATTTCCCACTGGCCTCCATACCACTATCACCCTGTCCCTCAAGCTCTGGCCCTCATTTCAGGAGACTGTAAATTCTCTTGTGAATGCGGGGATAGGAGGGGGAAGGAAAAAAAAAAAAAAGGGAACAGGATTTCCCTGTGTTTGAACTTCTGTATGCTCTTTTGTAAAAACATCATTGGAGCGTTGATAAATTACTTTATGATTTTTGTAACACCCATCATTATCTGAAGGAGCAAATTTGAAAATCAATTATGTGGAATTGATAGAAAGAAATCCTCAGTGATTGCACAGGAGCCAGTGCTGCATTAGTAGAGCCGGAATCATTTGATTTATGTTCCATCAACATTTTTCTAGTTATTGACTTGGGTACATTTCCCAAAGCTGAAGAAATTTTTGAGCAAAAATGATGGGAAACCAACCAAGACAGATTTGTCTAAAAGCCCACTTTGGTGCATATATTAGACAATACAACCAATGAAATGATACATAAGAAGGAAAAATGGGAAATAATGCTGTTAACTAAAATACAGAAAAGTGTTGGTAACCATCCTAGTAACCTTGAGAGACTGGTGAACAGCATCCAGAAGGAACTGATTATCAACCAATAGACCCAGGTAATTCCCCTTCAGGTGCCCGGAGGAAGAGATTGATGGAGGAGAGATCTTTCTATTTAATTTTAATCCTTTGAAGCCTAGTCTGCTTTTAGAAAAGTGCTGGTATTCTACAAATATTCAGAAAAGTCAGGCTGAAGGACCATGCAGAAGTTACATGCATCTCTGGCAAAATGCTGGTAAAAAAGGTATGCATCAGTATAAACACATATAGTGATTTTTAATATCTGTGGACTTTGTTAGATAGCTGCAATCTGGTAAGACATTTTTTTTTTCCTCTGAGCAACTCTTCTATATACATATTCTCAATCCTTGCTTGAATGAACTGGGAGAGATGAGAAAGGAAATCACAGGTTAGTAGAGCATGCAGTCTGTTCCTTCCCAGACCCATTATTTTCATCACTGATGTCCTTTCTGGCAAGACCAAACTGTGGACATTAGGCTGAACTGCATTTGTTCTGGGAGATTTTTGCACTTCCCACATGAGAAACAAGGTTCTGCATGGGCTGGACCAGAGCATTTGCTGGCACTGATTGACTTGTCTAGCATTTCCTGCAGGCCTGGAGCATTGCCCACCAATTGAGAAGAAATGCAAGAGGTACAGTGAAATTTCATATCAAGAACAGAAACTATCAATAGCATTTCTTGAATTAAAGGATGGTGTCATGAGAAGATGAAAATGAAGAAGTCATATCTCTGAAGAGATTCAATGGTTCCAAAAATGCGGTTTGAATTATTATCTCTCAAATTTAAGCAGGTCTGCTGATCATTTGACATCCTTTCTGAGGTATTTCATTAATATTTAATGCTGATCTTTTGCTTTTTTTAGGTGGAAGCTGCGGTCAGAGCTGCCAAAGACGCATTCCCAATTTGGTCCTCAAAAAGCCCATGGGAAAGATCTCAGATCTTGAACAAATTGGCAGACCTGATTGAAGATGACCTGGAAGCATTTGCCCAAGCAGAGTCAAAGGATCAGGGTAAAAATCTAAACTACTAATGTCAAATATAATGTCCCGATGTGTATTCGAGTGGAAGATATGGTCAAGATATTTTTTATATATGAGCTTTTGGCGAGTGGTGTTTAGATGAGCTGTTTTCTGCCCCTGATATCACAGCAGTTTGTTTGATTTTGTTTCAGGCAAAACAATTACATTTGCTAGAACTGTGGACATCCCTCGGGCAGTATACAACTTCCGATTCTTTGCCTCTTCCATCCTTCATCACACGACAGAGTGCACCGAGATGGCAAGCATGGGTTGTGTTCATTACACCTCACGGACACCTGTGGGAGTTGGTACAGTGTTCCTGGAGAATGAAAAACTGGGCAGTGTCTGCCTGAGGCAATAGAGAGGAGTTTTTCCAAACCTAGCATTTATTTTTCCTGGGTCATGTACTACACATGGCTGGTCTGCTAAATCACGATAAACTTCATGTGAATTCACTTATGCTGCTTTTCCTTAGAAAGAAAGTTTATATGATGCCTTAAAATGTGCCTAGAATCACAGAAGAATAATTTAGTCCAATGCAGGGCCCACACAGGACCACCCAAAATCCAAACCCTATTCTGAGAGCACTGTCTGAATGCTCCTTTGAACTCCAGCAGCTTGAGGCCGTGCCCTGGGCAGCCTGTTGCATGCTCACTGTCCTCTGGTGAAGAACTTTTCCCTGACAGGCATCAGGCATCAATTTACCTAAGACCAAGCAGCAGCAGCTCACAGATCAGCATTTTGGCTGAGGCACCCAGCTGCATTTTAGCCGAGGAATTGCTGAACTGTGCCACTAGATGCTGCTCTTGCTTCAGATATAAAGCAACTGTGCTGAATTTATGAGGGATGGAGCCGTAAGGATACTACTATTATATAGTTCATATCATTATGTATAAATGCTTCGAATTCAAGCCTGAATTATTAAAAAAGGTAAAACTGGTGAGGTTAGTGGACCTTTTTAAAAGTTTTTGTGACCAATGGAGATCATGAGTACTTCTGATAAAATTACTCACAGAAGTTCTTCAAGGTCCAAAGCTCCATTCCTACATGTGATGTGTCAAGCAGCAAGAAATTCTGTGGCTTTTTATGAACAGTCACATCTAACAACTACAAATTTCTTTTTGCTGTTTTCAATCAATGTGTAAAGGAAAAGTATTCCCAAAGGCAGTTACTGAAAAACAAAACAAACAAACAACTAGTAATTCAGCAATTTGTGGAAACAGCAGCTTTGTTTTTTTTGTTGTTGTTGGTTTTTTGTTTGTTTGTTTGTTGTTGTTGTTGTTGTGGAAACAGAAAAATAAGCACTGTGTGCTGTGCATGCTCTTTTTAATAGTAAAATTGGGAAGAAATCTCTGGACAGTATCATAAAGCGAGTGATTTGGGCTAACTGAGGTTACTTTGGATTGCTGACACAGAAAATTACCACAGAGCAGTTGATGTGAACAGTTTTTATGGCCAGCCTTGCCTCAGTGTTCCTAGAAAACCATGAAAAGCATGCTGTGAATATAAGCTTCTGCCCCAAAGAAGCAGTGTTGAGCAGGTCAGCTTTAGCATTGTTTGTGCAGATCTTTTAAAATGATCTGTCTGTGAAGAAGACTTCTAGCTGCAAGTTCTTGTACAGTTGTCTAGAAATACAAACCAAATTCCCTTCCAAAATTTGAACTGATATGTAAACGTTGAAGAGAGGACTGAGTTTTGTATTCCAGTGAACTGTGCTCCTGTCTTTTGTGATTTTCCCTTGTAGCTGGTTTAATCAGTCCTTGGAATTTGCCACTTTATTTGTTGACCTGGAAAGTAGCTCCTGCCATTGCATGTGGAAATACCATAGTTGCCAAGCCAAGTGAGATGACATCTGTCACAGCCTGGATGATGTGCAAACTCTTGGAGAAAGCAGGTAAATCCCTGAGCATATTAGGTGGATGAATGGGGTGGACTTGCTGCAACGTTTTCATTGCAGAAATCAGAATGCTCAAAAAACTTGGGTGAGATGGTTTATTGTAACTGAATATCACACTAGAGAGTAAAAAATTCTCCCTGTGACCATACTGTTCCATCTCCCTAACTCCAGCTATTTTGCTGTTTGATTTTTTTCACTGTCTCCTCATGAAAAGTCTTCCCGTATCTCTCTCCCCTCCCCGTGGGGGTTTCCTATGTCCACAATGCCAGCAAAGGAATCATGAAAGCATAAAAGGGTGAGATCCAGTTCTTGTTTCATTTGGAAAATGAGAAGATAACTGTTTTTTCCCTGTTACAGAATGACTGAAAACTGGGTCACTGATGGTGGATGTTGGGCAAGACTGACTGATGGGTAGAATTGGTTTTATTGTTTAACCTTAATGCTACCTAAGTTGAGGGTCACTCTTCATCTCTAGTAATTTTCTAAGCCCAGAGATAAAACGTTGACAACTGAAACCTGAGGCTCACTTTGTGCCTCTCTTTCCATGAGGGATGCCCCCCGGCGTGGTGAATGTGGTGTTTGGGACAGGCACCAAGGCAGGAGAAGCCCTCGTCTGCCATCCTGACGTGCCCCTCATCTCCTTCACGGGAAGCACACTCACAGCCCAGCGGATCACGGAGAAGAGCGCTCCGCACTGCAAAAAGCTTTCTCTGGAGCTGGGAGGCAAAAACCCTGCAATCATCTTCGATGATGCTGACTTGAGCCAGTGCATCCCAACAACCCTGCGGTCCAGCTTTGCCAACCAGGTGCTTCTCGCCTCTGCAGTGTGTGCTTGCAGCAGGAGGTGTGCATGTGGTAGTGTAGGCACACATTTGATTTACCTTTGATGTACCTTTGATTCCAAATCCTAAACTGGCAAGTTCTGTTTCTAGGCTCTGTTTAGCGAGCAAACTCCAAGTAGAAAAAATATGAGAATATGCACATTATTCCAGAGTCAGGGAAGTAAAATAAGAAAGTGCTCTTTCTATAGCTCTCTATCAGAAGTTAGGGGGAAAAAAAAGTATCTTTATCCCTCTTACAATAGATATATCCTTTATTTCTCCAGGAAGCAATTGCTTTAAATTCCTCCCTGCAATTAAGTGGAAAACTTGATTTGCTGAAAATAAATTAGGAAATGCCCCCAAATTCTATCAGTGTTACTGTTCCCATCCTTTGGAGATATTGCCAAAGCCATGAAACTGTATCGGGACAAGGGTTCAGAAAAATAGCATGGCATCAGCATGGCATTTTAAGGAAATGAAGAGAGGCATCAGTCCAAAATGGAAATCTTATTTCCTATGAAAAATGTTGGAGAAGGTAGAACGTTATTAATGAAAAAAAAAAAAAAAAAAAGCTTACATTAGTGATTGACTGTTCAATAATGTTATTACTGTATTTTCTTCTCTCTTCCTTTTGATTTGGGAAAAATCCTGCTTTGCTGGTAGGTGAATGTTGTTTCTGCTCCTCAGGATGCAGGGACACAAGTCTCATCCTGGGAAGCAAGTCTTAATACAGGAGAGTAGTACAATGTAATACAAACTGATTTTGTTTGTTTTGGTAGGGTGAGATCTGCCTTTGCACCTCCAGGATCTTTGTTCAGAGGGGTATATACAGTGAGTTTGTGAAGAGGTTTGTAGCAGAGACTAAGAAGTGGAAAGTTGGGAACCCCTCAGATCCTACTGTCGACGTGGGAGCACTAATAAGTAAAGAGCATCTAGAAAAGGTGGTATTACATTAAGTTTATCTGATCTTATCTTTTGTTGAGTTACAAAAAATGTTTTTAGATGTATATACTGGGTGGAATTAAGATTCAAAGCCATTATTATGTTTTCATTAGGTAAAGTTTCTGTTGCCTGTGGCCTGGGATCATGTGATTACTCTGGAAGAATCAACTCCATGCAGGAAATAATTCACAAAAGCTATTTTTTTCCCATTTGAAGTGAAAAAACTCAAAGTGGACAGGTCTAAATCCTGAATTTATTCTGACTAATCTTACAGCTTAACAACATTCTCACTTATGTTAGTATTGCATTTGCTGAAATCATTTATTTGCCTAATAAGAAAATCTTATTTTTATATGTCTCTTAGCACACCCTGCTAGCAGGAATTTGAAATGGCATGAGTGTAGGTTACAGCTGAGACAGTGCACAGTGATGTCTGCTTCAATGACTTTTTGTGGTTCAGGAGGGCAGATGCTCGGACCCCAAAACTGATACAATAGGTGTAAATAAAAAGCAACCAGAAAACTACAAACTGAGGGAGAAAGCCAAGCCTCTTGAGGCCTCAGCAAGTTCTCCAGCCTGTTCCTATTGTAGAATGGTAGAAACACCCACTGCTTGAGGTCGTATTGGGCACAATAGACAACTTCTGTGTCTAGAATACAAATGTGTCTAAAAAAACAATGAGAAAGAAGCACAGTGCTATCTCTGTGGTATTTCTATAGAGAGAGAAACAGAAGAAAGATTCTGGACCAGCAGAAGATCCAACAGCATGTCCTATGTATAGCATATGATAGCAGTAGCCATGGGGAGCAGCTTTAATTAGTTATTGATGAGATTTTCTATAGGCTTCATGGCTTCATCATTCTAGTGCCATGTAAATGTCCAACAAGCCTGCCCATGGGGCAGGAAAATGTTACTGATCCCTTGAAGTAATGAGTGAACCATGGCATGGAAGATATGTCAAATTGCCTAAGCTCCTGGAAAAAGGAAGGAGTGCTTTGGGACCACTTGTGATTTTACCACAGATCCTACCATTTTGAGATTGATTGCTGGCAAGGGTCAATACTGAAGCCCACTAGGCTTTTTACAGAAATGGATCAATAAAAGCTGGGGAATACCCTTCTTCCATTAGAAGGAAAGTAACAGCAGTGTGATGCTGTTGGAGGTATTCCTGGACTCCTGAGGATTTATCCAGACAGGAAAAGTGGGCTCTCTGAATGTTGTCCTTTAGAAATGATGTTCTGCTGCTTTTTCCTCAGGTGAGAAGCTATGTGAAGAAAGCAAAGGCTGAAGGAGCCAGAATTCTGTGTGGAGAGGGAGTGGATTCCTTGGCTCTCCCAGCTGGCAACCAGAAAGGATATTTCATGTTGCCCACCGTTATTGCCGAAATCAAAGATGAATCTTGCTGCATGCAAGAAGAGATTTTTGGTCCTGTGACATGTGTGGTAGCATTTGATACAGAAGATGAAGTGATCAAAAGAGCCAATGGTGTGAAATATGGCCTTGCAGCCACTGTGTGGTCCAGCAACGTGGGACGCGTTCATCGAGTGGCACGAAGGCTGCAGTCTGGCTTGGTGTGGACCAATTGCTGGCTTGTTAGAGATCTGAACCTGCCGTTTGGTGGGGTGAAAGCCTCAGGTATAGGAAGGGAGGGAGCAAAGGATTCCTATGAGTTCTTTACTGAAGTCAAAACCATCACAATAAAGCACTGAAATAAATAAATTGAAAAATGTCAGGATAAAATAAATTACTAATTTGTGTTACCTTAAATGGCTTTCTGGAATACAATACATCTGTCAAGAAACATCAATGACAGCTGCAAACAGACACTCCAAATGCTAATATTGAATTTAGCCTTTCATTAGATGAGATGATTGGTGTGATCTCCACAATTAACCCATCTTAAATCAGATTGCTCGTGTATCTTACCCTTGTGTATGATTTTTTTTTAGAGTATTCTGTTCTCAAAAATCTGCTTTATAGAGAAAGACTGGAGAAAAAATGATGTACAACTGTACATGTAGCTGGTGAGTTACTGTGAGAACAAGATAAAAGTACATTGAGAAGCTGATATAGTAATGAGAATCAGCCTATTTCCATTATAAGTAGCACGTTCTGTGTACCACTTTGTTTTATGCTTCATCGATGTCAGACAAGGACTGATGCTATAGCACACCAAATGCCTGAGGCACTACCTTTAATCTCTTAAGTGGCATTGAACTAGGGGGTCATGAGATTCTCATGATATACAGAGGCAATAAGCATTGTAATTATAACATGGTTTACCTTATGTTGCTGAAAAGTCCTGACATTTGTTCCCTAACTGTTCTGAAATTACAGCCTTTTGTCACTTTTAGGACTCAGTGATGATGTTTTTCACATCCTTGAACACTTGTCTAGAACAGAGATTATTCTTCATTAGGAGAGGCTGGAAGTGACTTTTAAGAGAACTAGCAGTTGGAATGATAGGCTTAGTGAAGCAATGTATTCTGAAGAAGCACTGTTTCATTTTATAACTCTGTTTAGGCATTCTCATGACCATATGATGGCAGTAGAACACCTGCTTTGTTTTTTAAACCCTCAGTCACACATTTTGCTAGGCTGTGGATGAACCATTATATTAGTGCTTATGTTACTCTGCTTTTGTTTTATCTGCAAATCCTGCTTGAAAGAGCAAAAGAAACTTTGAAACGCTTCATTAGTTTGGGGGGCAGGAATTTTCAGCAGGAGCAGCTGGGTTTTACACAATTTGTAGATCTAGGTGGATTCCTTCCCCCACCTGAATCTGGTCTGGGGTCAGTTTTAATGAGCTGATTTTTTCATTCAGGAGTTAATTTTGGCTTGGAGTTAGATAAAATAGGAGATTTCCATGTATATATTTGATGTACAGGAGATAAAAGCTTGTGTATCATTTGTGTATTTCTGGCTCAAGATGTCTTACAGTGTGGTGGAACATACTCTTACAGTGAATATGGGAGTGGTGGCTTTGTGTTCAGCATGACTGCGTGGATTCCCTGCAGTGAACTCCTGGAGTGCCCCATTTTATCATCCCTGTGGCCAGTAACACAGAGTGGTAAGGGAGGCCTGCTGGTGCTGGTGCTTACATGCTAAGTTTTAAGAACTTTCCTATATTTTCTTTATTCAGACTGACTTCTAGCATAGCAAGTTGTGTGCCTGCCTCTCTTCTGTCCTACAAAGTTGCCAAAGAATTTTGTCTTGCAGATGATGAAAGCCACGTCTGCAGCTGCTCTGCTTCAGGGTTTCTACTTTCAGAGCCGGAGGGCAGCAGGGAGAAAATCCCAAAGGATGAGGCAGGCGCATCCCAAGTGCACGTCTGACAGGCTCGTGGAGCTGGCTGTGCTGCATGACCTGGAATTTTCCAACCCAGCAGTAAAGCTTTTTTTTTTTTTTTTTTTTAATGCTCTGCTCTGGCTTGTATGTGAAATCATGTGGCCATTTTGAGGATTTGTTTAATTACTGTTATGTAAAGCCTGAACAGTTGCTCCATCTGTTAATTCTTACAAATGGAGCGAGTACAGTTCTGTTTTGCACTGGATTATCTCACTGGTGTGAGATGATTTCTTTGCATGGGTAGATAGTTAGACTTTACCCAAAGTTTGCTTCTCTCAATTAGCATAATGTGTTGGTTTTTTTTTTTTGTCTTTTTCTTAGCATGAAACATGTTATTGTACAATGCTTGAAAACAGCTTTGCTTAAGGGGAGACATTGGGCGTGTTCTGGAGAGGAGGCAGATCAGTTCTAATGTTTATATTTAAATGAAATTAAGTCCCTGTTCCCACAGTGTTTGTAATTTTTACAAATACTTCTTGTTTTGCCTAACTCCCAGTGATGAAAATGGAATTCGGACTCTTGCCTTATTGGGTCAAAAGAAGTTTCATGAGTGACTTAGGTAAAACATGTGGAACTCAAATGTAAACTAGGCTAGTTGTAAAATCTTACCTTTGAATTTCCGTACTTAAAAAAATATGTATCTTAAGATTCAGCTTAGCAAGTATAGCCACATCTCTTATCTCTAAAGCATTCTTCTTCCAACTGCAGGGGAAAAAAAAAAAAAAGGTTGGGGGGAAGAAAAGGTGCAGAGAGACCCTGAGTACTTTCCTGCCAGGCTTGTTTCCACGGTTCAGGCATTTTTGCCCCGTGTGGCAGCATGTTTGCTCAGCATTGGCCTCAGCTCTACCAGGGATGTAATCTGAAGTGTCTGAGTACTTGATTTCAAGTTTCTTGTGAAGCCTATGGATTTTTCTGTGTGTCAAGACAGTGAAAAATTAAAAACAAGTGTAATTTTCCTGGGCTGTGGAAAGACCTGAGTCCCATTCTCTATCTTAGTTAGTAGTTAGGTATGCTATGAATGTAAGGACTAAGTGGGGCTCACAATATTCCTAGAAAGTCCTGGTGGCTGGTTGATCTCCTTGGTTGAATTCTCTTTCCTTCCATTTCAAACATTTTGCAATACAAGAGTGATGCTTGTGCTTAGGAACACCAATGCACTGGCTTTGTTGATCTAGAATGTGTAAAATCCCCACTGGCAACAGTTGGAGATTATGTGGAGAGTGGTGAATAGTGAGAAAAAAAGGAAATTCTGCAATATTATTGGATAACTGAGTTAACTGGGTGCATATTACTGCTGCTGACAGTAAAGCTATGGAACCAGAAACTGTGCGTGGAGAGTGTTGTCTCCTGAAAAGTAGCAGTTGAAAAGGGTTTGGAGATCATGAGAGGACCTCGGTTTGCATGAGAACAACAGCTCAGTTGAAACTGTTCTGCTACAACACTGCTGGGCTGGTATTTCAAAGAGCAAGTTTTCTCTCTGAAACAGGTGAGGTGATGGAGCACATCTTGCAGACTTCCTCTCTCTTCAACAAGTGAATTAACCAGAGCAGAGTCTGGCTAATGATGACTCTTTCTGGCATGGGGTGGCTTAATCATTTCAGAGAATGCACACATGCTTCCATGGAAGGAGGCACAAGGCTGTCTCAGCCTTGAATGTGCTATGACCTCTTAGGAGCATGCTGTATAGAGAGATGAAGAGATGCTAAACTGCACATACACAAGATGTAAGTACTTGTGCAACTTCACTGCAGATGTGTAGGCGTGTGGAGCTCTTCAAAGTTATGTGCAAGTTGAAAGTTGAACATTTCTCTGTGTATGAGAGGTGCTGTGAAGCACTCAATTACTATAATGATGCGGCCTATGCAAGTCCCCATGGGAGCAAAAGGCATCTGTTAGAGTAAGGCTAAGAAGAGCTATCTCCTGGTTTCAGAGAAATGAAAGTAATTACAGATCATTTACTATGGAGAAGTAAGGGCACATTCATTCATAAAGCACTAAACTTGTCCAATTAACTCCAAGTTCCTAAGATAATAATATAAAAATTATACTGCCATTTTAGTAATTGAATTTTCTTCTCCTTTGGGAACATTGCATATTACAGTGCCAGCCTACCCTCTGCTACAGAGAGATTTGTTTTTTTTCGTCAGTTTTGGCTCCCTCAATGCAGAAGTCAGGCAGAAGCAGCATTTTCTGCAGCTGCAAAATAACATTTTCAAGTGTTTATTTAATAAAACGGAAATTAAAAAAAACATTTCCTAATCTGGCCTTAAATTTTAAAAATGAACTTCTCTCTACTGACTTGGCTTCAGTGAGTTTACCTGCTGAAAATGCAAGCTTTTGTCCTCAGGAGGAATGCCAAAATATTTGTTGATAGAAACAGCTGAATGTAAACTTTGGATTCTTTTTGGGATTCTTGTGCTGAAATATCCGTTTTCACATGACTACTTGTTAGTTGAGGGTGGATAATTTCAGTCCTTCTTAACAGCTGTATTCAGCCATATTTTTACACAGAGATACTGGAGCCATGTAGAGGACATCGAGTAACTATGATAAGATAGTGGTGGAAATTTGATTAGGAAGTTGTCTCCTTCCTGCGCTGTTTTCTTACCAGAATTGCAAGCCCTCTGAGAGGAGGAGAAAGGATAGTTTTGTAGTCCATAAATATATTCCTACGGTAAGGTAACAATTTTTTTTCAGATCACAGAATCACAGAATGGCTTGTGTTGGAAGGGAACTCAAGGATCATGAAGTTCCAACCCCCCCACCACAGGCAGGGCCACCAACCTCCATATCTAATGCTAGACCAGACTGCCCAGGGCCCCATCCAACCTGGCCTTGAACACCTCCAGGGACGGGGCATTCACAATTTCTCTGGGCAGCCTGTTCCAGCAGCTCACCTCTGTCATAGTAAAGAACTTCCTCCTGACAAGCAACCTAAATCTTCCCTCCTTCAACCATTTCCCCTTGTCCTGCCATTATCTACCCTTGTAAAGTTGACTCTCCTCCTGTTTATAGGCTCCGTTTAGGTACTGAAAGGCTGCAATCAGGTCACCCTACAGCCTTCTTTTCTCCAGGCTGAACAAGCCCAGCTCCCTCAGCCTGTCTTCATAGGGGAGGTGCTCCAGCCCTCTAATCATCTTTGTGGCCCTTTTCTGGACCCTCTCCAAAAGCTTCCTGTCTTTCTTGTACTGGGGACACGAGACTTGGACGCAGTATTCCAGATGGGAGCTCAGTACTCAGATGTCAGCTCTCCTTCTTCACATGCACAGTGCAGATTTCTTTTGTGCATCACGTTTGTCTTTTCCACTTATTTATGACTTGAATCATATGGCATGAGTGAAAAGCAGTATCCTGCAACAGC